GAGTGATAGGATTAGACAAACTCTTCTTCTGAATATAAGCAATATGCTGAAGAGTGTTCAGGGCGCAGAAAAACAGCCTTTCGACTCTAACCAGAGAAATAAAAGCATAGAGCAGAAGGGAGTTAGCCACCCTGGCTAGGATTACTCACCCAGGATAATCTGGCGGATTAGAATGATGCCTGCAAATACAGTTAATAAACCAGGCTGGATTTACAATCATCCAAGTGTGCTTCTTCTTCTTCTTCTTGTGCCATATCCGTTATCGGACGTTGGCGATCATGTTGGCGATCCTGTTTTTATCAGCAGCCGCACGAAAAAGTGCTGCTGAGTTTTGTCCAAACCAGTCCCTTAGATTTTGAAGCCATTATGTTCTTCTTCTGCCTGGACCTCGTTTGCCTTCAATCTTTCCCTGGAGGATGAAATGGAGTATGCCGTATTTTTCTGGGTGTCGCATCACATGTCCGAAATAGTCTAATTTTCGTTTTTTAATTGTTTTGATGATTTCCCTTGGCTTTCCCAGGCGGCTTATCCCCTTCTCATTTCTGATCTTGTCAAAGGCAGCTTATACGTAACAGCTGCCTGTAAATCCACATTTCAAACGCTTCTAGTCTCTCTTCAGGTGGCCTTCTGTCAGAGACCAACTCTCTACTCCATAGAGCAGGATAGAAAAAATATAGCATCTGACAAGCCTGATTTTCAGTCTTAGGCTTATGTCGTGACTGCAGATGACCTTTTTCATTTTGAAGAATGCTGTTCGAGCTTTCTCTATCCTTGTCTTTACTTCAGTAGTCATGTCTGCTTATTTCCGCATAAATATACTCCAGCTGAGGGTGCAGGATTTCTCAATAGCTCTTGACAGGGTGCAACGATGTAAGTCAAAGCCCAACAGGTGTTTTTTTTTTTTTTTTTGGTAGCCAGAGGGCAGCCTAGCATGCAAGATGATGGTCCCCATCACATGACTAAGAGTGGAAAGTTTCTTTTCTTGTTCTTGCTTGTGTGTTTTAATTGTCCTGTGCCTATTTTAAGGTTGGCGTTATTATTTTTAGAGCGTTATTTTCCCCCTATGAAAATGACAGGAAACCACACTACTGATCTGGAGTAATTGAATACCAAAATTCAACTGTAGAATTAGAGAAGGCTTAGAAGCCGTAATCTTCTCACTTATGGTATTAGCCCAACAGTACAATGGATCTTAGATTGTACTGTGGATCACTCAACACACACTCCCTTCTTTGGTTGGGCCCAGCTTTAACGAAGCAGATATTTTATTATCTTCAGTTAGATGTCACGTCTGCATCGTACATTTTTCCAGGTCTAATAACTGAACGTCTATGGAGATTCTCAGTCATCTAGGTCAGGGTTGTCCCAAAGGTGTTTTTTCAAGAGGCAACTTGGACTTTCTTGTTTTTCTTTGAAGATGTTTCACTCCTCATCCAAGAAGCTCCTTCAGCTCTGACTGGATGGTGGAAATGGATGGATTTATATTCCTTGCAGACAGCTGGTCATTTGCATTCTTTTAGAGAGTCGTTGTGGCCACTTGGACATTTGTCTGTGTCCTCAAGGTCACCTGAGTAGTGAAATGGATGTGGAACCTTCTTGGAACTGCTGATAGGGCTGGGTTGTGGAGCCGTGCTTTCTGCAGGATGTCTTTCTGCCCTGTGTCCCTTCACTGTTGAACACAGGCGCAGGCTGTGGGGATGAGTCTGTGTTGTCTGCATCTCAAACTGAAGCGCAAATGGTCTTGTGGTCTGCAATTTTTTCTGGAAATCCATTCATACTCCCGCATCCTTCAAAGGATGTTCATCCCAAATATTTTCAGGTTAAATAACTGAATGTACAGTATTTGCCAAATATGTGAAGTTTGCTTTAAACCTAGCATTAAACCTGATTGAGTTAGTTTGATTTTTTTTTATCATGTGAACTCAGAAGGTAACTTAATTGGCTTTGGGGAAGAATGGCAGACTGAAGCAAACTCAGTGAAAAGCTTTGAGTAATCTATCCACAACTGGACATAACTGGAGTTAATGTTAGGGTTAGGGTTAATGTTAGGGTTAGGGTTAACATTAGCGTTGGCATTAGGTCTCCCTGAATTCAGAGAGCAAACTGGACATCACCAACAGATTTGTAGCACGTCATTATGCTTAGCAGGGTGCTGACTTTGGCATTTTGAACTGGGCTTTCTCGTTCGAGGTTTTGGAAGACATGAATTTGGGGGAGAACCTTATAAAAGAGGTAAGATCAACTTACACTTCAGAGAAAGGACAAATCATTGTTGATGGAAATCCAACAAATGTTGCTGAAAAAGGGACAGGACACTGATCCCTGCAGTAGCCTCCCTTCTTTATTTTGGTTCTTGAAATATTGACTAGAGATGTAAGACAAGATGAGAGGGTTGTAATAAGTAACATTTTAAAAAAGATAAGAGCTTCTGCAGATGGCTTGGTGCTGGTTTTAGAAGATCCTTTAAAATTAAAATAGTAATGGGCAAATTAAAAGAATTTCACATACTAGCAGGTTTCAAGATTATTAAAACAGAAGTTGAAGATGTTAGCATAAAATGCGGAGATAGAAAAACAGAACTGATGAATAAAACAAGTTTTAAGACTGAAAAGGTAAAATATCTGTATATCACTATGACAAATAGGTATTGTATGTTATTTCAAAATAACGTTAAGACATGAAATGACATTTTTAAAAAGCATATTAAGATGGGAGAAACTACAGCTGTCATTGCTGGGGAGAATGTCTTGCCTAGAATGATGTTTTTGTTTCAGACAATACCAGTTTTGACAACTGATGCACCATTTAAACCATGGCAGAAGGATATACCTAAATTTGTGTGGCAAGGAGAAAAATTGTGTGTCAAGTTAAACACAGGGTGTTTACAAGATGCAGAAGAAAGAGGAGGATTGGTTTTACCTGATTTGTAATTATGTTTTGCAGCTTTCTGTTAGATTTGTATGAAGGAGTGGATGCTGCTTGTGGAGTTAGAAAGGCATAACATGAGACTTAGATGGCATGGATATATATTATTATTATTATTATTATTATTATTATTATTATTATTAACAACGACGACGACGACAACAACGATGACGACAACGACAACGACGATGACGACGACGACGACGACGACGATGATGATGATGATGATGATGATGATGATAGAGTTGGAAGGTCCAACTCTAGAGGGCATCAAGTCCAACCCCCTGCTCAGGCAGGAAATCCCATACCATCTCATACAAATGGCTGTCCAGTCTCTTCTTAAAAACTTCCAGTGTTAGAGCATTCACAGCTTCTGGAGGCAGGTTGTTCCACTGGTTAATTGTTCTAACTGTCAGGAAGTTTCTCCTTAGTTCTAGGTTGCTTCTCTCCTTGATCAGTTTTCATCCATTGCTTCTTGTCCTGCCTTCAGGCGCTTTGGAGAATAGCTTGACTCCCTCTTCTTTGTGGCAGCCCCTGAGATATTGAAACACTGCTATCATGTCCCCCTTCGTCCTTCTCTTCGTTAAACTAGACATACCCAATTCTAGCAACCGTCCCTTATATGTTTTAGCTTCCAGTCCCCTGTTCATCTTTGTTGCTCTTCTCTGTACTCTTTCTAGAGTCTCAACATCTTTACATCGTGGTGACCAAAACTGGATGCAGTATTCCAAGTGTGACCTTACCAAGGCTTTGTAAAGTGGTATTAACACTTCACGTGATCTTGATTCTATCCCTCTGTTAATGCAGCCTAGCAGTGTGTTGGCCTTTTTGGCAGCTGCAGCACACTGCTGGCTCATATTTAAGTGATTGTCCACTATAAAGTCAAGGTCAACATGGATATTAAAAATCATTGTTTCACATGTCATATTAAGAACATGGAGTAGGTACAAATCTAGGTTGTGTCCAAAAACACCTTTGCGTCTCTGAGCACAATAAGCATTTTGTAGATTTTGTTGTCTAATGAAAAGAAGCACTAAGGGTGACATGATAGCAAATTTTGTTGTTGTAAAATAACAAAAGCTGACTTTTTAATTGCACATTTTTCCATCAATTTTCAGTTTCTAAAGCGGCTTGTACCGGTATTAACTGAACTGAAAAAGATCCATATGGACAATTCTGTCTTCTTTATCTTTCTGTGGAAAACATGCATTCTTCACCTTATACTGAAGGCTACTGGAAGATCCCTGCATTCAGCCATGATAATTTCACCAAAATACTGTATTCTTCCCCTTTGCAAACGTTAAAAAAAACCCCATTAAAATTAAAATAATTTAAAATAATAATCAGATTGAGAGTAAGAGGTGGAGAAGAACAGAAAGAAAATTCTCGTTCCGGATTGTTTGGAAATCAGTGACACTCTAAAACTTTTCTCAATTTTTCTTACTTCTGTTCTGTTAACCAAAACAGGTATTCCCTACTTGACTTCGAACCTGACCTAGCAACCAAGACCTAGCTTGAATTTGCCCTTTGGGGTCATGTTCAAGTGCCCACTTCCCTGTCGGACAATGGGCCCACCGTCATTTGTATACTTGCACATACGCTTCCCAGGAATGCTTTACAAAGGGCATTTCTCTTGTTAAGCCAGCATGAGCAACCCCACACGCTTGGAAACACACAGTGGGTGGGAGGGTAGCTGTGCTTCTCCCGTGTGGTGTGTGCTTCCACGTGTCTCTCAGTCAAAGCAACCGCCTATTTGCTGCCTCGACTCCCTCTCCCTCCCTCTCTCTCTCCCTCCCTCTCCTTCTGTCTCTCTGTCTCTCTCTCTCTCTGTCTCTCTCTCTCTCTCTCTGTGTGTGTCTCTCTCCCTCTCTCCCATCCATTGATGGATAGGAAACAAATGTGCCCCTGGACATGCCAGGGCTTAAAATAGATGTGAAGACTGCAGCCCGTTTTCCTCCTTGCAGACACAGCGTCGTCGGGAGCAGCAGCAACAGCAGCAACAGCAGGAACAGCAGTGGGGAGAAGGGGAGAAATGGCTGGCTAGATGTGCCAGCTGCCTGAGAAAGAAAGAAAAATCACAGCTTTGACAAAGGTAAGGGAACTGGGCTGTCTCCCGCCTCGTGTTCTGCTTTTCTCTCTTTGTTGACGGCCAAGCGTGTAGAATTGATCACTCCCTTCCTCCCCCGGGGGCCAAAGAAGTCTATGTCTGATTCTCTTGCCTCTGAGTAGTTTGCTGTGTAGTGCATGTTTTCGTCTGACTGGGGCTGAACATCAGGGTTTGGTCATGATGGAAGGTCAAGGATGGTGAGGGAGAGGGACAAAGATCTGGGTAGTGCTCCAGCAACTATAATCTCGGTCCTCCCTTTAAGTGACTTCATTTAGGGACGGGATTCAGATCATTTTGACAGATACCTGGATGGGACTTTTGTAGGTCGCGTCTCTCCAGCCTCCCCTTATCTCTAAGGCATGAAGGAACTGATTTCATTCCTAAGCATCTCAGCCTTCTCAGTGACTTTCCTTTCCCCTTAATGCCTGCTGGAGCATGAAGGGCCCTTATATATCTCAAATGTTCATTGGGCCAGGAGACAGAGACCATTGCAGGAGGAGCAAAGGGGTGGCAGAAGGGTGGAGAAGGTGGAGACCTCTGACCTCATCCATAGGTTGAATTGAACACTGAAGACAAGATGCCCCTGATCCAAACTGCACCTCGTTATTCTGCCTGTGTAAAATGAAACTATGAATGGCCTCCCATAACACCGTGATTGTAAAGCTAGATCAGATAATCCCTGCATCAGGTGCTAGACTTGCAAAAGAACCTTGTGTAATACACAGGGTGGAAAGATGGCTTCTTAGCTTGCACACACGAGGCTGTAGGAGTAGGAAGTGAGGCAAAATGAACCATGAGGAAGAACGAGTGAGTATTTTTTTTCCCTCTGCTAATGATCCGCGGGTATTGTTAAGAGAGAAATGCATGGCACGTACAACACACTGGAGCAGAAGAAAAGGTGGAGCCAAAAGCCTGGCCTTCAGCCTGTTGCAATGGTCACCGGTTTGAAACGTGCTTTAAAATAATGAATAAACAAATGTACAAGCTAGAGTGGCTGCAGAAGATGCCGTTCAAAAGACACCTGTTATGATTTGGGAGTTGAATGTTGATGCGGAAAAACTGCTGCTTTAAAAGCAAACGCTTAACCTTCATTAAGAATTCACTAGCAAGTTTCTGCACAGTTGTGCCAGTTTTGGTTCTCATTTGTCCATATAGAGAGAACGGCATAGATCATTACAGTACCCACGGATGTTTGATAAATTAGAACAAAGAAGTATGCGTGAAACTTTATACAACTGTGTTTCTGGAAGGGTGATAAAGTGGGTTAGAATATTCCTAAATGCTAAAGATTCGTGCCTGTCCGGTAGATCTGACACAGTAGGCATGGTGTAGTTCTCATCATTAAAACTGTGTGATCTGAAGACACCTAGGTGGCAAGAAGTCATCTTGGCCATGGCATCTGCCCTCTGGAATACCACCTCCCAGAGATTTGAATTGTTCTGACCCTGTTGTGCTTTCAACAGACTTGAAGACCTTCCTTTTCCTCCAGGCCCTTGGTAAGGAAGTTTGGGCTGCTATGGAAATTTTTGTTAGCTTCTTTAGTGTATGGATGTCTGGATTATTGCCTTCTTTTCTTTGTATCATATTAGATTGTTTTTCTCTTATACACTACCCAGTGTATAAGTTGGGCAGCCTATAGCAGTGAGTTGGGCAGCCTATAGCAGTGATGGCGAACTTTTTAGAGACCGAGTGCCCAAACTGCAACCCAAAATCCACTTATTTATTGCAAAGTGCCAGGGCTGCATCAGCATTGTGGTGCCCTCAGGGGAGGCATGGGGGCGTGGCCCACTGGGTGGGCATGGCCAGGGTGGTCACAGCAGACTGGGTGGGTATGGCCAAGTAGGCGTGGCCACCTCGATACTCTAACATCTCTACTCGAGCTTGCTAGCCGGCCATTTTGCCTGCTTTGTGCTGGGTGGGGCTGCTGCTCCGGGCGGCGGCAGCCTAATGGACCTGCGTGAGCTGCTAGTGGCCGCAGTGCGAGTGCCCACAGAGAGGGCTCTGAGTGCCGCCTCTGGCACGCATGCCATAGGTTCGCCACCCCTGGCCTATAGATTTCATTTATAAATAAACACACACCAACATCTCCATATGGTCTCCGTTACTAAAAAGTGGATTATACTCGCCAATTCCATTAACGTGATTTTGGCTGATGGAGAGGACTGAGAAATGGATCATTGGATGTCTTCTAAGCACAGAAAAGAGATTGCTGGCGACAGCGGAGAGATGCTAGTAATTGAGGAACTAGGGAAAGGATTACACATATCCCCAGTAACAACAGTAGTCTTTGGCAGATTTATGATGATGTGATTATTAGGAACAATTACTAAAATAAGGACGATCAGAGTCCTTTAAGCTTGTGGATCTATAGAGGTTGAATGCAGTCATTCAACAGGGAGAAAACAGAATCTCATACATTCCAGAGTTATCTGTCTCCTGTATGACTTCACACATTCTCTGGAAACCTTCTCAGCTGAGTTCTCCAGTAAGTTCTGAATGACCTCAGATGGTCCCACTGGAACTCTGTTCTGTTATTCAGAAGTTGATTGTGCAAAAAAAGATGTTTTATGTACTCTATCACAACCGATGTTTGGTCCAACTAGTCAAGGGTAGATAATTTGGCCCTCTTAAAGTCTTGAGTATGACTCGTCAGAAGACCTATAAAAGCTACCATTGAACTTTTAATCATTAGAAGATGAAAACAAATTAAATCACACGAGAGGGCTACATTTAATTTTTTTTCTTCTGACATATTTGACCTGACCTCCAGCATTTTTTTCTCTGAGCGTACCATGTCTTTACTTGAAATCAGAGTGCACTTCCCTGGCCTGGTTGTGATTCAGGGACACAACCTCGAGATGCTTTGGACCACGCTTCTCTTAAGCCCTATCCTGTATGGACAATAGTCAAGGATTATGGAAGTTGAAGTCTAAAACATCTCAAGCAGCCCAGTGTTCTCTAGAGGCTTTGGATTAAACCTTTTATAAGCCCTATCTTTATGAACAGTGGTCAAGGATTATGGAAGTTGACATCTAAAATAACCCAAGGACACAACTTTGCTGATACAGTATCTGGACTCCCTCTAGCTATGTTCATGTCACATCTTTAACCGGATAGATTTAGGTAGATGAATTTGCATCAGTCTGGATAATGTTAACTTTAGTTAGGTGGTTTTTTGTTGGCTTGTTTGTTCTATTTTTGTTTTGTTTTTTTGCTTAGCTTGCTGGGTGAAACTTGCCCGGTTAGTTAGTTTATAATTCACTGTATCATGTGAACTCAGAAAATCCAGTAACCAGATTCAGCAAATATTCAAGAGTGTTTCTTCGTGAACTCAAGTGCATTTTTCCTTAACACTACTACGCCGTTCTTTACTAAGTGAAAATGCCAGGAACTGAGTCTCTAAACTTGCACTTGAATCACACTGGCTGCCATTTCTGACCCAAATATAGCAAGCCAGGTTTCATAGAAGTCTCCCCTTCCTGGAATACAATGGGTTTCTTCAAAATCTTCTCCAGGTCCTGCCAGGAAGAAATCAACATTATTACAAGACCTAGAGCAGTGATGGCGAACCTTTTAGAGACTGAGTGCCCAAACTGCAACCCAAAACCCACTTATGCATCGTCGAGTGCCGGGTGGGTGTGTCCCATTGGGTGGGTGTGTCCCATTGGGTGGGCGTGGCTGCAGTGATAATGGCAGACTGGGTGGGACTAAAAAGTTCAATCAATCAATTCCAACTTTGCAAGATCTTTTTTTTCCCCGCGAGAAGTTGAAATTGACTGATTGAACCTTTTTATTTTTTTGCACACGGCGGCGGAGGCCTAAAGCGGAAAGGTTTTATAAAACCCAGCTGAAGGCCTAGGACTGGGGCGACGGCGCGCGTGCCCACAGAGAGGGCTCTGAGTGCCGCCTCTGGCACCCGTGCCATAGGTTCGCCACCACTGACCTAGAGCTTACATCAGAAGGAGAACATGATTTCTGCTCCTCCCTAGCGCTTACATTTTCTCCTCCCTTGCTCTTAGCTCTCTGTCCAAAGTGTTAGCACCTGCCAGACCTTTTCATGTACATTCTGCCCTTGGCAGCCCTCATATTGGCATAACTGTGCCAGCAAAAAACCTTGTTTTGAAGGAAAGCAACAGCTGAGCTCACATAGATCCTGATTCATTCAACTTTGTCAGTTCGGGCACTGAGAGAAAAGACTCCACTCCCCACCTTCATGTCAATTTCATTCAAGCTGATGCAAAATATTAGAAAACTCATTGATGAGTCCGGGGGTGGCATTTAGAGCTCAGCTTTCTCTATTTGTTTTAACAGAAGAACCAGGCTAAATTTGTCTAAATTGGACAGCAGCAACTCTGCATGGATTTAAAAGAAAAGAAGACCTTCAGTAGATGGAAATAGACTGACTGAAGAACAGTGATTCTGTAGGATTCAGCCGATAGTATTTTGTTCTTTGATCACTTTAGTAATATGTGAAGGGCATCATTTGGGGGAGGGGGGGTTGGCCTAGGAGGTTGTCAGCATATCTTATAGATCTTTTGAAGATCAGAACAGATCTGTTCCAATTCTCCTATTGGGCAAAAGCATCCTGTTTTTCTGACTTCCTGTTTTTTATGTTCACAGAGTGCCTCCATCATCTGTAAATTGGACGCATCTAATAATAAGTGCAGGAGTTGGGATTGCTCCCAAGGGCATCAATACTGGCAGGGCTCAAGGCCAGGAGAGAGTGCAACCGTTTAATGTATCTGATGGACTTTTCTGCTTGCAGAAGAGAAGTCCCTTTTCCTAGCCCAGTACATAAAGCACTCTTCTATACTACACTACAGAATCCAAGAAACTTGTGGGGAAAAATCCAGTTTTGGTTACCACAATGTAAAAAAAGATGTTGAGACTCTAGAAAGAGTACAGAGAAGAGCAACAAAGATGATTAGGGGACTGGAGGCTAAAGCATATAAGGAACGGTTGCTGGAATTGGGTATGACTAGTTTAACGAAGAGAAGGACGAGAGGGGACATGATAGCAGTGTTCCAATATCTCAGGGGCTGCCCCAAAGAAGAGGGAGTCAAGCTATTCTCCAAAGCGCCTGGAGGCAGGACAAGAAGCAACGGATGGAAATTAACCAAAGAGAGAAGCAACCTAGAACTAAGGAGAAATTTCCTGACAGTCATAACAATTAATCAGTGGAACGACTTGCCTCCAGAAGTGGGAATGCTCCAACACTGGAAGTTTTGAAGAAGAGACTGGACAGCCATTTGTCTGAAATGGTGTAGGGTTTCCTGCCTGAGCAGGGGATTAGACTAGATGACCTCCAAGGTCCCCCTCAACTCTATTATTATTATTATTATTATTATTATTATTATTATTATTATTATTATTATTATTATTATTATTATTATTATTATTATAATAAAAAGATTGCTGAAAAATCAAACTAACTACAGGTAGTTCTTGACCTGGAACCATTCGTTTAATGATCGTTCAAGATTATGATGGCACTGAAAAAAGTGACTTATGACCAGTTCTCACACTTATGACAATTGCAGCAACCCTGCAGTCACAGATCAGACTTTGGCAACCAGCCTGTATTTGCGATGGTTGCAGTATCCCAGGATTGTCATTTGCAGCCTTCCTAAGGAGTTTCTGACAAGCGCAGTCAGCTGGGGAAGCCAACCGCGTGAGTTGCTTAACAACCAGGGCAAAAAGGTCAAAAAATGGGGTATGACCCACTTAACAACTGCCTTGCTTAGCAACAGAAAATTTGGGTTCAGTTGTGGCCCAAAGTCCAGGACTTCTTGTATTCCAGCAAAAAAAACCGAAGCAAACTAACTGATTATTACCGCAGTTCAAGGTGCTGGTTCTTATTTATAAAACCCTTCCTAGTGTAGGACTAAGGTTTTTGCTGATCTTCAGTTATTTCTGCTTGTCTGGTCAGATCTGACCTGGGTGGCCTGCAGAGCCTCATCACTTCAGCAGGACTCAGGAGACATGCCTTCTCTGGCATTGCCCTCATCTTTTGGAACATCTACCTAAGATTTGGTTGATTCCCTCCCCTGCCTGTCTTTCCAAACCAGTCAAAGACCCGGTCTCATTCAGCAGCGTCTGAGCAGTATGATTTCAGTGGCTGATGATTCCATGGGTTGAATGTTTTCCACTATTTTACGTCCTTGGGTCTTCCTAGTTTTTATTGTTTCTCCATCATATTATTTCTGTCAGGATTTAATTGTTATTTACCGAAGGTGTACTTTGTTCTAAGTTGAGCAATCGATAAATCCATCGATCCGTCAATCGTCGGAATGAAGTTTGATCTGCCAGCTCTTGTTCTGCTAACAGAGGAATTGATGTAACTCAAGGACTGAATTTCCATGGCTGTCAGCTTCACCCAAGAGAACTATGGCAGCATCTGCAAAACAATAGGAAAAGGCACACTAAGATGACTTTGTGTTCTAAATGCATGCACTTGCAGCAACAATTTTCTCATATACACACAGCTTTCCTGCATGGAAGCAAAGCCCGTATAAGTAAGTTGTGTTCCCATAATTTTAAATCGAGTGGCTGCAGTGACACTATATGCCAAGACTGGTTAGTTTGTTTGCATGAGCCTGGGTGCTTGCTTAGATTCCGATTCACGATATTTTGCAAATGGGCTTATTCAGAAACTACAGATAGTCTCGACTTACCACAGTTCACTAAGTCAGAGGTCCCCAACCTTTTGGGCACCAGGGACTGGTTCCGTGGAAAAAGGTTTTTCAGCAGACCGGAGAGTGCGTGGTTTTGTGTGCTGCCTGCATCCCACGGATGGGGCTTTGCTTGTTTGTGTGTGGACCAGTTGCTGGCATGCTGTGGCCCAGTACTGGTCAACGGATTGGGGGTTGGGGACCTTTGCACTAAGTGACCAATCAAAGTTACAATGGCACAGAAAAACATTCACACCGGAGGTGACTGATTAATTAAAATCTAATCCCATGATTTTCATGATTTTATCAGCTTTGTTCTTTTATAATTGATGATTTTAATGGGTTTTTTTAAAAAATGTTTTATATTGTCAGCTGGACGGAAGATGGGTGCCAAACCAATTTCACAATAAATAAATAAATAACAAACAAATGCCCTGGGTGGTGGAAGAAGGAATCTTCTTAAAAGTGCCTTCTTTTCATTTTCTTTGCAGGATCAAGATCAACTTTCAGAATGCAGCCAATACAGGAAGTGCCCAACCTCGTGAGAAGCTCAGGAGACGATGCTTCGGATAACGTTCTTCTTTCTTTTTCAGACTAGAAACCGACCGTGGGTGGTGGGCACAGCAGAAATACTGTCCGGGCTCCAGCCCCGCACCCTGAAACAGCCCGGGATGCAACAGGGGGTGCAGCGGCACCCATGTCCTTCATGTCTCTGTTCTCCAGGAACACATCCAGACCTCCTGTCTGGAGGACTCATGATGACACCGTCCACCACCCCATCCTCAGTGTTTTTGAGCTGGAGAGACTCCTGTACACGGGGAAGACAGCCTGTAACCATGCCGATGAAGTCTGGCCAGGGCTTTACCTGGGAGATCAGTACGTATTGATCCCAGTATTGGAGACAGGCCAATTCCAGGAGGTGGGGAAGAAGCAAAGAGGCAACATAGTGATGATCAGGGAAAGGATTCAGATGGGAAAAGGAAAGGAAGAACCCACCAGTAGTTCCCACCTTACAATCACAACTGAAACCAGAATCTCATCTCTAAGTGATGAGGTCATTAAGGGAGTTACCACGTGACTGCATCTGATTTTACTGCCTTTTTTTTTTTTTTGGCTGCACTCATTAAATGAGTTTGGCTTTCCTCATGACTTTGCCTGTATGAAACTGGCTAAGAAGGTCGTATAAATGATGGTCCCATGACCCAGGATGCTGCAACCGACATAAATGCATGCGAGTTGCCAAGCACCTGAATTTTGATCACATGATTGTGGGGATGCTATGACTGTCGTAAGGGGGAGGGCCAATCATAAGTCGGTGCTGTCATAACTTTGGTCAATAAACAAATGTCAGTAAATCAGGACTGCCTGTCCTTTATGGCCACCAATCACTTGTTGAATATACAACGCAACCTAATTTGCAAGCAGGGTTCTATCATCACTGGTTCTACTATTAGTCACTGGGGCCCCAGGCACAGATTTTTTTGGGGGGGAGGGAGGAAGACACTGATGGAGGAGAGAATTGTGATAAAAGTTGCTGGGTGCACAGGGGGAGAAGATACTCTCACAAGATTTGGGAGACATTCAACTGGATAAAAAAGTTATTGTCTGAAAGACTCCTCCATCAAATGATCATCAAAAAGCAGCAGCAATCAAAGATCAGAGGGGATATTTGCACCGTGGTTTCTGGGCTTTTGTGTCAATTGGTCCCAGGCATGAACCTGTCCACAAAACTACCATTTTGCTAGGAATTGGCTTAGCAAAACTCCTACCGCATATTCTTAGAACAGGCCAGCTAAGTGCAGATTGAAAAAAATGTGAGAAACAATAGATAGAAGCAGTGATTCTGGGAAGAAGAGAATTTCTGAATGACCCCGACTTTATCGTTCCCTCCTTATAGAGATATAGCAGCAAACCGACGTGAGCTGGCCCGACTGAACATGACTCACATCCTCAATGCTTCTCACAGCAAGTGGCGGGGAGGCGCAGAATACTATGACGGTATGGGCATCTGCTATCTGGGCATCGAAGCACACGATTCACCCACCTTTGACATGACCCCCTACTTTCAGCCTGCTGCAGATTTCATCCACAAAGCCCTGAGCACGAGGGGAGGTGAGTCCACAGAAAAGGGTGACTTGACCCACGACTAGAAGAGGTATACAGTATGGGCATGTTTCTGATTCAAACTGTACAACCCATTGATATTCCACTGTTTACATAATAGAGCAGGGGTGTCAAACTCAATTTCATTGAGGGCCGCATCAACATTGCGATTGCCCTCAGGGGGCTGGTTGGGTGCGGCCAGGGTGGGTGCAGCCTACTGGGTGGGCATGGATGGAATGGGTGTGGCCTACTGGGTGGGCATGGCCAGCTCTACATCATTCGCGTCAAGGGTGCCTGTGGGTGCCTGGGCAGGAGTGGGACAGATCTGAGGGTCTCTGGCAGAAGGGGGTGGGACCGGGGCGAGCGCCAAGGCATGGTCCATTTCTTCATTCCTCACAAAGGGTGACACCTCCCCAGCATGCACCCAGGGGGCGGGGCCAACACGGCAGGGGCTGGTTCCTCGCTGTTTCTCGACGGCCTTGTGGAGCTAAGACTGAATGTGTTTCAGCATAGATGGCCATCACAAAATTGTACATTGGCTCCCAGCCAGACTGGGCCAGTGGCCAAGGCAGCGGGGGCCATTCCCTCACTGTTTCCAGGATGGCTTCGTGGGCCACATGAAACCACTTCACGGGCCGCATCTGGCCCCCGGGCCTTGTGTTTGACATGTCTGATGTAAATGGATCGATTGATTAAATAAATGTCAGGGGCAAAGAATCAGGACTACACATTAAGTTCCCATTAAGCTGATGTATTGCTCATACCTATACACAAGAATTTAGTCAACTAATGGTCAGCACTAAATTGGTGCTAGATAAGGGTTAATGGAATTCAAGAAGGGTTGGACTGGGACCACTTATGGGAACGTAAAGACTGCAGGCTGATTCCTCTCTTGACTCCATCCCCAGACTATCCCTCTCCTTCTCCTACAATAAATAAATAATTTTGAATTATGCTGGAAAGCTAATAAGATGTAGTGTAGTATCAGTTTCTTTGTCAGGGCAGGTGACGAAAGTCTGAAATGAATTACTTCCCCTGAATCTCTGGGGCCCAGATTTCTTTGTGATGGTCGATACTGACATTTTCTTAAATTGATCTTCTTCCCATAGGGAGAATCCTTGTTCACTGCGCTGTGGGGGTAAGCAGATCAGCTACCCTGGTCCTTGCTTACCTCATGATTTACCACCACTTGACTCTGGTGGAGGCCATAAAAACCGTCAAGGACCATCGAGGCATTATTCCCAACCGGGGTTTCCTGCGCCAGTTGACCACCCTGGACAACTCTCTCAGGCTGAAGAGGAGACCGTAAGCAGATGAATCGTCGGGAAACCATGATAGCATAGTTTCTGTTGGTAAACATGAGGCATTACTAGCCTTATTTGGGCTCAGCTAACCACGACCTTCCACAGATCCTGCCTCAAAGAAGAACAGCTCTAACCTTTCAAGATGTACTGCCAATGTTCTCAGAGGTTAGGCTCAGGAGTCAACCGGAGGCGAGCAAATTCGAGGTTTCTGAGAGGAAGAGATTTTCTTTCTCCCTCTCCCGTTGGCTTTCGAAAGCCATTTTCCAAGACAATGTCCCAACCTCACACTGAGGAAGCTTTTAATGCTGAAATTCCCATGGAGTGATATGTCTTGTGGCCCGTTTCCTCCTGTTTGCTTCTAGCTTTTGTTTTAAAAAGTGGCAAGCCCCAATGTATTTTAACTTTATCGGAATAAAGTTCTACAGAAGAGAAGGATGCTGAGTCGTCTTTATTTTTCACGTCCAAGCTGAAAGAACCTTTTAGAAATTTCTACCCGCTGAATTAGAAAAAAGAAAAGGTCCCCATAATACCACTGCTAAAAAAATCCAAAGGGAGAACTTGGTTTATGATATCTTCCCCTGGTATTTAATAGAAACAGAAAGGCTGCAGACCAGTGAAGAGAGTGCTATAATAGTCCTCAACTTATGACGTTAATAGCAATGGTGGGATTCAGCCAGTTTGCACCACTTTGGCAGAACTGGTAGCTAATTTTTTGTTGCCCAAGCCCAGAATGGACTTCTGGAAGCGGCATCCACACAGATAACCGGTTGTTCACATATTTGAATCCCACTGTCAACACTGCTAACATTGGATGTTCTTGCTTTGACAATGATGGAGATGCAGCCTTTTTCTTTCTGTTGTTTTACTCTTAGAATTAGATGATACTGGGGGGAGGGGGAGGAATGTGATGGGAGTTAGTTAGACATACAATATTGTAATAAGAGCTGATAAGGAATGGCGGGATAGAAGAACTGGGCGGAAAGCCAGCATTTCAAACTAATTGGAGAATGTGATTTATGACAGTTAGTTGTAGGAGGGAATTGTGTTTTGATCTATGTGCTGAAGGGAGGGGAAGTCAGATTTTGGCTTCAATTATGTACATGCTGCTCGAGTAAAGATTCTTTAAGGTAAACAATGCCTCAAAGTTCTTTGAAGAGTTTCATCTTTCGGAACCATGATACCTATCACTGGTTAATAGAGTCAAAATTTCCATTGCTAAGCAAGACAACTGTTAATTTTACAGCTGTAAAAAATTTTGCCGGATTGCTTAAGTTAACCATTTCAGTTGTTAAGTGAATCTAATTTCCCCCTTGACTTTGCTTGTCAGGTCGCAAAAGGAGATCACACGATCCCAGGACACTGCAAACGTCATAAGTAATGAGTCAGTTGCCAAGGGTCTGAATTTTGATCAGGTAACCACAGGGGTGCTGCAACAGTTTTAAGTGTGAAAAACAGTCCTAAAGTCACTTTTTTCGGTGCCATTGTAACTTCAGTCACTAAAAAAATGAGGGTAAGTCGAGAACTACCTATTGGTTAAAAAAAACCAAGAACAAAAGCCTCCTTCAACTCAAGTTTAACTCCTGATGGCTATAGGGACACATCCATTTTGTTTCTTTGGTGGCATGGTGTAAATAGTTTTCCGTCGCTTTTTTTTCTACCATAGTTTTGGAGTTGTCAATCTAATCTACGGTCCTGAAATTGTCACTCTACTAAGTTGCTATCCAGTTGTGACCCTGCTTAGCTTTGGAGACTCTGTCAGGTACGCAGGAAAGATATGTACTAAGTAAGTGGAAGGGTACTAAAGTTCCCCACTGAGAATTTCAGTTATTTTTTTTCCTTCTGAAAGCAAATGTCCTGGGGTTGAGCAAAAAAGGCAAAAGAACAACAGGTGTATCATTCCATTGAAGACGGATCGTGGGGTGTCTGGTTAAAAAAAAATAGTTTTGGGTTGGGTTTTGTTTTTTTTTTTGTCTGCATGCTGATTCTAAACTTTTCCTATATTGGAGTCTTTCTGGCTCCATTTAGCCTTAAAATAAATTGGAGGATGGATCAAAACCCATCAGCATCTCTAGTGGAATAGTTTTATGTGCATAAATTGACAGGCTTAATAAAGAAGCAGCTTGTCATACTTCAGAATAAACACCAAGGGGCGGTAGAACCTGGAGAATTAATGATGGCAGCTAGGCAGAGGAACAGAAATGGGAAAATACGATTCTATTTGGCCTCTTATCTTTCCCGGTTGTAAATAAAGTCCTTCTGTTCTTATTGTTCCTCAATCCCAGAAGCCCATCTGATATGTGCCAGGGGTAAGAAACAATGAATGGAAACTAATCAAGGAAAGAAGCAACCTGGAATTAAGGAGAAACTTCCTAACAGTGAGGACAATTAACCAGTGGAACAGCTTGCCTCCAGAAGTTGTGGGTGCTCCATCACTGGAGGCTTTTAAGAAAAGATTGGACAGCTATTTGTCTGAAATGGTATAGGGTCTCCTCCTTGAGCAAGGGGTTGGACTAGAAGATCTCCAAGGTCTCTTCCAGCTCTGTTTTGAGTGAGTGAGTGAGAGAGAGAGAGAGAGAGAGAGAGAGAGAGAGAGAGAGAGAGAGAGAGAGAGAGAGAGGAAAAAGGTTATAGGGTCAGACCCTTCCCTAAGCTACTTGAAGAAGTTATGTACACCAATAAATATGCACAGATATTTTAGCTTCTAAAGTAGCCCTGTTCACCCTCCATTGACCAAATATGGGAATCAGAGAATTGATCTGAAAGAATTTGGGTTATCAGTACCGACTAAGTTGCCAAGGAAAGAACTATCAAAGCCTGCTGATCCCGGTAGCTTATATTACATTATATTTCAACTAGAATTGAAGGCAGCATGTCTTAAATACCGATTGTCCGGCTTCCAGATTAAAAATCCATTAGGCTGGACACTGGAAAAGCTACATTGGCCTTATATCTTGACATGAACTTGGAAACAAACATTGGGAAATTTGGAAGGGGCTAAATGGAATCAAAATCTCCTCCATATTCCCTGATTTAATTGCCTAATGAGAGAAAATGTGTAATAAAGATCTGGAAACAAAGATTAAAGCAGTTCACGGAATATCACGTTCAGCCCACCAGTTTAAAAATACAGAACAATTTTGATCCCCAATCTGTATGCACTGAGATTATCACAAAATATGCCTCATCCTGTTTACAGACATAGACGTATATTTTGTACTTATCTCTCAGAAAGCTCACGAGATCAGCTTCTCAAGAAGATATTGATTTTCTTGACTTCATACCTTTTTGCTGGCTTTTTAAAGTCAGCTGACTGAAACTCTGACAAACATCCATAAGACACCAGAATTTTGTTCTGACACAGCAGTACAACAATGGAGTCATATTATAACGATGATCACTTGAGGTATTTTCATTTTGCAAAATAACCTTGGATCCAAATCCCTGAAAGAGCAGCACGTACCTATATAGAGGGAATAAAAGATGACCTGGCTAGAAGTGTGGGCATTGTAGTCCATTAATAAATTTGGGAGAATCTCTAATCAATGCCAGACTGGGCTATTGGCAGGCAGTGCTTAGTTCTTCTTGTGTGTAGTAATTATGCACAATTCTGGACACCAAGAAAGAGAGGAACTGCACATTTGTCCAAAATAGTATAGGGTTACCTGCCTGAGCAGGGGGTTGGACTTGATGACCTCCAAGGTCCCTTCCAACTTTATTATTATTATTATTATTATTATTATTATTATTATTATTATTATTATTATTATTATTATTATTATTATTATTATTATTATTATTATTATTATAATAAATTTAAACTGTTCTTCAAAGGGCTGGATTAACTAATATCCAGAATAATCTGAGGTCATCTAATGACCACTTTTCTATGTACAGCCAATATATTGAGAATTCCTCTTAATGTAATGTTGGCCTTGCAGACAGGACTATTTTTGTAACAAGGAACCTTAACTAAGTAGTGGCTGATACCAGAATATTAAAATAACCAATCCTTAATTGCTACAAGGTCTCAAGAGTTAAAAACAGAAATTTAGGATTCCAAATCAGATGTTCCAATCGTTACCTCTTTGTTGAAAATGTTTTATGGTCCTCTCTTCATCCTAAAGTGATCCACAAAATAATAAAAGCCAGGTGATCTCTGCCTTTTAGCTTAGAAGCTAAATACAAGATAAATGCAGACGGGAAAGGGGTGGGAAGGAAAGGGGGGAAAGAAAACAGAAGACATTTCACATCTGTCAGACAGCTGGAGACAGGGCAGAAGAAGAAAAGCATCAGTGTGATAAACTTTACAGTGTGGCTAGCTTCACAATAACTTTTTTGTTATTTTTGCTTGCCCAAACAAAATTAAAACAGTGGCAGTGATATGATCCCACCCAACTCTCTTGTTGTTTCTTTCCATGTCTGGACTATTGCAATGCTCTCTACATGGGGCTCCCCTTGAGGTGCACCCGGAGGCTCCAGCTAGTTCAGAATGCGGCTGCGCGGGGGATTTTGGGGGCCTCTAGATGCTCCCATGTAACACCTCTCCTGCGCGAGCTGCACTGGCTGCCGGTGGCCTTCCGGGTGCGCTTCAAGGTATTAGTAACAACTTTCAAAGTGCTCCATGGCAATGGACCTAGGTATTTGCAAGACCGCCTCCTACCAAACACCTCCCTTCGGCCAGTCCGCTCCCACAGAGAGGGCCTCCTTAGAGTGCCGTCAGCCAGACAATGCCGGCTGGCGACCCCCAGGGGGAGAGCCTTCTCTGTGGCAGCTCCTGCCCTCTGGAATGACCTACCCCCCGACCTACGTACAGTTGCGGACCTGCGCCTTTTTCGCCGAGCCCTGAAGGCCCATCTATTCCGTGCGGCCGGCCTGGCGTAGCTTGATTATGTTTCAGTGGGGGGGGGTTTACGGGTGTGTTTTTAGAACAGGCCCGTTATTTAATTCGATTTTAAAACAAACTATTTATTACCGTGGTTTTTAGTATCGCCTGTTCAACGCCCTGAGTCCCGCAAGGGAGATAGGGCGGTATATAAATTTAATAAATAAATAAATAAATAACAAAGCCGAATGGAGGAAATTAGTTTACACTCTTCTTAGGTCCTGGATTATAGTGTTCATACAACACACCAACCTTCTAAACACGTGTGTCAGCACTGAGAGTAAAAGAACATTGGAGGCCTCATCCAATGTAAATCATGCTGAATTTAAGGCTAACTCAGTTATAGTGGAAATGGGCAGGCTGGCAAACCAAGTTCCTCTTTGTTTTCTTTAATATGCAACTTTTGCATTCACTTAAATATTTCATTTACAGTAGATGGGCAGCAGTTTCCTGGAAGTTTCAAACTCCAAGTGGGGAAATGAATAAGGGAAATTGTCACACACACACACCCCAGCATTTATCATTTTCTTCCAAAGAGGTCCGTTCCAGA